GGCGTAAAACTAAACTCACTCACTCATTCGCTCACTCATGCACAAAAAGCCTGTGATGCACAGAGGAACCAAAGAACAGATCTAGATATCTGCAGTGGTTTGTTTGCTTGTTCATTTACGCCGCTCTCAACAATGTTTGGGTAATGCATTATTTTAATTAAATACGAACATCATTTAAAGACTTAATACAACCAACGACATTTCAAGACGTATGCTTGATACAATTCCTCCAAGACTCAAGAGTTAAACTTTGACACAAGGATTGTTATAACAGTGGAGCTACTTGAAAAGTTCGTGCACGTCACACTAGAGACTTCCTCCGGAACCACAACATCAATGTGCTCCCCTGGCCCTCAAGATCACCGGACTTAAACCGGATCGAACATCTGTGGGATGCCCTGGACAGACGGGTACGACGCCGTAACCCTCAGCCCCAGACACATCAGCAAAGGCACTACAGGCAGAGTGGGCTGCGATTGGGCAACACGAGATTCTGAGACATATTCGTTCGATGCCGAGGCGATGCCGTGCAGTTCTGGATGCCCACGGTGGTCACACGAGGTATTGATTTCAGCGCCACAACACGTCTCCAAACTCAAACTGACTTTCCTCGAGTTGGTGCAAAAGACGGATAAGTCTGCATTCCCAGTGTGCAATTTCGCTATATTTCATTGACTCATAAAGCCTACAAGATGTTTCAAAATAACCATAAAAATACAGTTGAAATTCCTATATGCGTTTCTTTTTTGGGAGAGTATATGTTACTGCTTCAAACTTGATTTTCATTATGAATGGATGTCCAAAGAATTACATTTCATGAACATTTTACGTAGCAGATGCATTGATGTCCAAGTCCAAACATGTATATTAAATCATTACTGGAACCTAAATCATTCTATCAAATTTGGAGAAATATCTTGTGAGGACTCTATCCAAATTACGATATTTACCACGTGGTTTGAAAATACAGGTGAAGCACTTAAGTTAAACGTATGATCCAAAAGGCCAAAGTTGTGAGTAATGTAATTTAATGGCGATCGAGGAAGGATATAATTATTTTGTTTATAAGTGTGTCCTAACTATAAGTCAAGCAGAGAGATGTTGCCAATATGCTATCATTGGTATCCATCAAAACAGAAACTTAGCAAAATCTTAAAAGAATAAGCCATCTTTCTGAAAAGGCACTTTCATAGATAAAACGAACAAACTGTTCGCCATACCATCTGGAATAATTTTGGGCAGTTTATAAACGTTCGAACTGACACCACTTAGATTACCTGACAAATGTTCCCATTTGGCATTTCTCGTGTCTGCAGTAAATACTCAACATTATAAATTAAGGTCTGATGCGACAAATGTATTACATGTTATGTAATATGCCCATGGAAGTACAAGAAGAAGAATTATCACCTGAATTATAAAAAACAAACATCGATCAAAGGATTAACCGATTAATCTCGCGATCTCGCGTTCTCGTGCTTTTATGCCAATTGCCCATACAGTTCTATGTAACGATTTTCGAAAACACGAGAACGCGAGAACGCGAGATTGCGACATTTGACAAATCTCGCGATCTCGCTTTCTCGTGCTTTTGTGCCAATTGCCCATACAGTTCTATGTAACGATTTTCAAAAACACGAGAACTCGAGAACGCGAGATTGCGACACTTGACAAATCTAGCGATCTCGCAATCTCGCGTTCTCGTGCTTTTGTGCCAATTCGTTGGTTTCACATTAATTTTCGACTCGCTGTGCGCATGCGCAGAGCGTGTAAACATATCCACGGGCCAACTTCCGGTTTGGTCGTAAGCTTTACCGATAGTGTAAACACACTCTAAAGAAAGCAAAAATCAAAACAAATATATGGTTTTATGTCGAATTTAACTGATCTCAATTCATTTATGAATGGAAGGGACCGGAATCAGTTAAATAAATAGCTCAACGTTTGTTAACAAGCTCTTGTATAAACACATCTCACCACCACTCGTCCACCGTCCTCCCTGCACATCAAAAGTAAAAAAAACACATCTCTGACCAAAATAGGACATAAATTATTGAAAAGCATAGGCAAATGGATGTATGTACTCAACTATGAACAGTTATGACGCGTAAATAATATTCATACAGCATTTATTTAGAGTGTGTTTACAATATCGCTAATACGACCAAACCGGAAGTTGACCAGTGGATATTTTTACACGCTCTACGCATGCACACAGCGAAAATTAATATGAAACCAACGAATTGCCCATACAGTTGTATGTAACGATTTTAAAAAACACGAGAACGCAAGACTGCGATACTTGGGGATGGCCTAAAAGTCGGGCCGGGCCGGGCCAAGGCGGGCCAAATCTATTATTGGCTAATAAACCCATTAACAAAAACCATGCCTACAATTAATCAATGCAACATACACTCATGATAATAATGATCAATCGGAAGTCACAAACGCGTACCATAATAACTTTATTACGAGTAAATCGGCTAAAACCCAGGAAGACGAGAAGCCTGTGAACTGGCTGACCGAGGTTACGTATAAAAGTGGAATCGTTAAACGAAACGGGATTTAATACGTATAAATACTTCAGCCAATTCCGATACACATTTCCGTCGGCCCGAAAATGATTTTACATCTATATCCAATCACATACCACCCCATAAATTCACTTTTCATCGTATTTAAAGCATGCCCACATTTAAATGATACGATCTCTTCCCCACACTCTCAACATTATCTCGGCCACAATTTTCCGCCCGGCTTGGCTCGAGCCGTCAAAAGCAGCTTAAACGTAACACACGTATCTTGAAATGTGTTTAATTCCATAGACTGGTATGATATCTACCTAAATATCGCTTTGTAATATTATAAAATGCCACATGTAAAGAAAACTGCTCCGTTAAAGTGAAGCCCTTGTATCACATTTTTCAACATAGCCTCAATCAAAAGTGTTTGGTCTCTGTTCAGCCAGACTTGGCCCGTGCTGTCAAAAACAACTTAAACCCCCCTACATGTATCCTGATTTGTGTTTATATCCATAGATTAGTATTAAAATCTACCTACATATCACTTCACAGAGTCTAGAAGCGTAGTATTTGAAGCAAGCACCTTGCTCAAAGTGAAGCCCTATTTTCTGTACATTCTCAACAAAGACACAGTATCACAAGCTTTCGGTCCGGCTTGGCCCGGGCGCTCAAACGCACCTTATACCTCACAGATGTATCTTGAAATGTGTTTAAATCCATAGATTGGTATTATATCTACCTAAATATCACTTTGTAATGTTATCAAATGCTACATGTAAAGATAACTGGTTCGTTAAAGTTAGCCCTTTTCTCTCTCCATTCTCAACAAAGCCTCAATCAAAAGTGTTTAGTCTCTGTTCAGCCCGACTTGGCCCGTGATGTCAAAAACACCTTAAACCTCACACATGTATCTTGAAATGTGTTTATATCCATAGATTAGTATTATATCTTCCTACATATCACTTCACAGAGTCTCAAAGCGTATTATTTGAAATGAAAACGTTGCTGAAAGTGAAGCTCTCTTTTCTACATATTCTCAACAAACAGTATCACAAGCGTTCGGTACGCCTTGGCCCGGGCACTCAAAAACAACTTAAACCCCACACATGTATTCTGATTTGTGTTTAATTCCATAGATTAGTATTATATCTACCTACATTTCACTTCACAGAGTCTCAAAGCGTAGTATTTGAAGCAAACACCTTGCTCAAAGTGAAGCCCTATTTCTATACACAGCAAAAATAACTTGGTTTCAGTGGACTGAAACTTAAGTTTCAACCTAGAATCCAGTGAGTTTCCGTTCTTTTACATTGAGTTTCCACAATAACGGAAACTTACAATTACCCACTTTCTAAGGGTTTCCGCAAGGTTTCCGTTACCCACACTCCAACAGGTTTCCGCAAGGTATCTGTTACCCACACTCCAAGAAGTTTCCGTTGAGTTTCAGTTAACTTTGAATCCATCAGGTTTCCGCAAGGTTTCAGTTATTAAGACTCCAACAGGTTTCCGCAGAGTTTCAGTTACCAACAATCCGACATAGTTTCCGCATAGTTTCAGTTACCAACAATCCGACATAGTTTCCGCATAGTTTCAGTTACCGGTTTCAATTTCAGGTTCACAGGTTTTCATATGCGTTTCAAAGAGCTAAATGTAAACATTCTTCTTTATTCATATCATAAACTCTTGATAAAAAAAATATAAGCCATTTGTTATTATCATGACATTTACTTAAAGAAAAACAGAATATATAATAAGATTCATTTTTTTATTTTCTCAACATGAATATGAATTAGCATTTAAGGCAAATAAAGATCATACATATAACTAGTAATATAGCACTAAATAGGGCAAAACATTTTGGCATAACTCAGTCCAGTTTAAGAAATCATATATCATTTATAACAAAGTAGTAATTGTTCATCAGTTAAACTTTCATTCACTTGTTATCTTGAAATAGCATGTTAGATATGAAATTTATTTCTAAAATCATGCTAATGGTGAAAAATAACAATAACATACAACTTAACACGGTAATAAAACATAGCTGCATCGGACATTTGGCATTCAGCCACACACTATCTCCAAACATCCACTATGATATACATCATACAATAACACAACATACACCTTTCAATACAAAAATAAAATAAAATAAAAATTACATTATGAAATTGAAAATAAATTCAATTAAATTGCAAGAGATGGTCAGTTAGCCCAATAAGGGGCATCCCTGGGCGGAGATCCCTCTGTTACTTTGGTTGGATGCCTCATCCTCGTCCTCATGTTGGCCTTGACGAGAGCAGTGGAGGTGTAGATTCTTTCCAAGTCCAGTGTCGTCGTGTATGCTCTAAGCTTGCTGGACTCCCAGACAAAGGGGGCGGAATGCAACTAATTGACGTCATCTTCGTCACTCACGACTGGTGATGTCATGTCTATGGTGAGTGTTGTCGCTACCTTTTTCTTTCGTCTATCTGGCCAATCGATAGATGCAAGTCTGTTTAGGCGTTGTGCAGGTTTCTGAAAATGGCAGGTAATAACGAATTACTAGGTTATTTTGATAAATTACACAAACATCAATCAACAAGAAACTGACAATGCCAAGGATGATTTAAAATGAGTAATCCAAACGGAAGTTTGAATAAAAGAGAACTAAATTGAACAATCACACTTTGCATTAGTTTTCTCAAAACTCAAATTATACAATTCATCACACTTCATTGACCGAATGAAATATCTTATTTTCTAAAGAGGACACACAATCTATACAAAATTTGCTCTGGAGTTACATGCTTCCCAGACCAGAGGTAGTAATACGTTATATATATATATATCTGAAAATTTATTGCATTTTCTATATACAGTAGTTATAATGGTTCTAGTAATAGATTTTCATCAAATTGCTATATTCAATCTCCTACAGATCGTATTGTTGAGCCCATTTCTGGTGTCCCCCACCGTGATGTTGCTGGAATATTGCTAAAAGCGGCGTAAAACCAAACTCAGTCAGTCAGTCGTATTGTTGAAGGCACAAGTATATTCACCCAGTAGTGACTGTATGTTTACACCATTAAGTCTTTGAGGTGTATTTAGAAGTGAATAATACAAGACATGAATGTTTACGGATGTCAACTCTGAAACATGTTTTCACATAATAAAGGAGTTGACATCCATAAACCTTGTCTCTACATTATTGGAAATTATTTACTATTTATAATGAAAGTCACTACAGATAGGTCAAAATTACCTTCACATGTTCCTGCTGACCATCTTTGGTCATTCTTTATAAAGTCTCCACACTCATCATCAGCTTTGCTGAAAAAAATAAACAATAACACGTTACTGTTCTTTGCATTTCCCCATTCATTCATTCAAGTTTAAAAAAACACACCAAACAATTGCAGCGACATTTATACCAACAAGCAAACTACAGATTTATCATTTTAGTTTATGCAATCAGTAACTGAACGGCCTGACATAAACATCCTGATGAATGAAGTTTAGTTATCTCATGTGACATAACCTTGGAGTAATTACGGTATTGTAAAATCAAGGGGTCAGTTTGACTGCAATTTCATACAGGTGTGAAGTTAAGATTTATTTGGTCCAATTTGAAATCATGATTAAGTTACCGGTTATTCAAATCCATTTGCAAATGCAACTTTAGTATGGTTCATTTTGTGAAAATGTATCTAGGGAAGCATAATAATAAAATATTCAAAGTGAAATTATGTCTATGTTTCGTAGTACCATAAACACATACCTTCAGTAAGAGAGGGTGATCATTTCCTCCAGGAGTAGTCGTGGCACATGTTTCCTCACAACAGCCTAAATGAATAAAACAAATCCATTAATATATAATCTATTTGCTGTATTTTTCAAAATTGTAGTATATTTTTAGATAGACACTTATTTTACTTCACCAACCTTTGAAAATAGTTCGAGCAAAACAGTTTATACAGTCATGGGACTTAAATATACGTCAGTCGGCAAAATTCTCATAGACTTGCATGCTATTTTAGTGTAGCTGTGTAATTTTCATTAATTCAGTTTTCAATATTTGGTTGTCAAATTTTGCAGGTCGTTAGGAAATCATCTTGGTCACAGATACATAATTTTCCGCATTGTAGTTACATGAGCAACATATATACAACATTGCGTATTCTTTCCCCATAGACCGCCATGTTAAAAATTGCCATAACCATGACACGCACTGAATTGAAAATAAAACGGAAATTATGTCTTTGTAGCTGAGATAATTCATGACCCATGTGCAAAATATAAACAATATCAAACGGATATTAAATAAATTCAAGACATATTTCTAGCTGCACCAAATTAACATGTAAGTCGAATAATGCATAGTGACGAATGGGTGCAGGCTAAAACGGAACCACAGCAAAACGGCACCAGGCGAAAACGGCACCATTTGGACATAACGGAACCTCCACTTGGCGAAAACGGCTACAAATCTTATGGTGAAAACGGCACCAAATAAAATTATAATTATTGGGAACATCTTATTTGTCATTAGATAATCTGAATACAGAATTTTGGAAGCCGTCTACTCTGCCGACAGTGATTGGAAAGTTTGTGTTAGCTGATAATCGGATTCCAGTATGTTTAGATAATGAATGAGTCTGACTGATAATCGGCTTGTAGAATGTTTCGATAGTCAAAACATCTACTGTGCCGAGAGTGATTGGAAAAGCCTGTAAATTTAGCGTGAAAACATCACAACCTTTGATGTTTTAAGTACATTTACTCAACTCAGACTTATACAGGAAGGAAGGCTGAAGGCATACATCCGAAAATCCTCAACAGCTAGGCAGGAGGAGGTTTTCGAATTGTGGAGTTCATTCAAGGATGGAGACCTGTCTCTGTCGCAGCTACTGTCAAGATGTGCGATGATCCATGGACCAATCGTTCAAGCATCCGGCCAAATATGGACGTGTGAACATGTGTTATGTTGACGGTTTGTTATCGTCTTTATTATAATCTTGTTATTTTAATGTAATGGTTGATTGAGTGAGTTATGATTTTACGCCGCTTTTAGCAATATTCCAGCTGTATCGCGTGTTATAATCTTGCTGAAATAAAAACCATAAGTCAACGTCATACTGTGTTTTTTATATGTTGATTCTAATGTTATAATTAAACGAACTACAACATAAAAGTCAACATCATACTGTGTTTTGTATATGGTGCCGTTTTAGCTCAGAAATCAGTAGCCGTTTTCGCCAATACGGTGCCGTTTTCGCCGCACGATTTTGGTGCCGTTCTGCTGTGGTTCCGTTTTAGCTATAACCCGTGACGAATACCTATGGCCAGTGGCTGTAATTCGATAGATTCGACAATAAATTTATGGAATGCCCTACCAAATTTCAAAAGCGTCATGTAATCTCACAGAATTTAAAAACCTAATTACAAAAACTGAAAATAAGATTTACTTTGACCTTAATTATGGCACTCGTTTTTGCCAAATCGTTCACTGTCGCCTCAGGCTCGGATGTAGCGACCTAAACGCCGATAAGTATAACAGACATTTAAAAGACAGCCCTTGTTGTTCTTGTGGACATCAGAGTGAAAACGCCCTACACTATTTCCTCACTTGCCGTAACTATACTCGGATAAGACTTAATATGTATTTGTACACTACCGGTTATAACCTGGATACCATTCTTAAGGGAAACAGAGAACTTACTCCCTGTGTAAACCAGAAAACAGTTTAATCCGTCCACGATTATATAACCAAGACACAACGCTTTAAATTTTCTCAGGAAAATAATTAAATTTACTCAACAACCTTCTCATGATTGATTTATATTTCTACAATGGCTTGAGACACACACAACTGTAACTCTTTAACTTATGACTACTTAGAGAATAGTTGTATTTCATGTAATCTGTATATATTTATACATTTTAAAAATATTATATTTATGCAATGGTCAGTATCGATGACGTCAAATCCTCCATTTTCATGTTGTATTATATGTTGCATGGGAGCGGTGTTAACATAAGCAGTAATGCTTGTTCACCAATCCCAATTCATCTTCATGAATAAAAATATGTTTAAATCAATTCGATAGATTAGCTTGTTTACCAATCCGGATTTCTGTACGTAAAGTAAATAATTCATAAAACGTTATTTGACAACAAAATAAATTCGTCTTACCTGACAGGGTCGTGGTACTGCGAGTTTTTCGCAGCCATTTCCATCTTTCTGTTCCTGGTACCGAATTCTCTCTTCCAGTGCTTTGAGGGAAACTGAGGCGGCTATGAAAATGGCGTCTCGCAAAGACTCACGGGAAAAACACTTTGTTGTTGTTTTTTAATCTAAATCTAACATTACAGTTTGACAATATCTTTCCGCGTTATACAACAAAATAAACATACACTATACACCTAAAATGTCAGCTGTGTGTTTTTATAATGATTTAGGTAGTCTCGCGTGGACGTGATCCGGTCGCCATTGTTTTATTTGTTTTCATTGCCGACATCAAATGAGACCGTGTAAGATGGAAATGAGCAGATTGAATGTGAGAACCCAAAGTGACAACAGTGGGCTGTTATGGGCTTAAGGGTCTTTTCATCGCATAATGGGCACTAATTGCTCCTCCTCAGTGTGAAGCATCAACATGTAGGCCTAGGATAATTAACAGTGAATAAATCTGAAAACATATTCACGTTACTTTAAAAGTCCTGGGTGCCGTTCCACTAACCGATCTTATCTAAGATCAATCTTAACAAGTTACGCCAATTTTACAATCGTCGTAGCTAAAAGTTACACCCGTTCCACTAACCGATTTTAGGCCGATTGTAGCCGGTCCCGATCTTACGATCCGATCCAAGCTTAGATCGAGACTCTTTCGTGCGAGAGATAGAGGAATGCGAGGCACGAGTCACTCCCTTTGCATAGGTCGCACTCAGCAATAGTCCAGCTATATGGCGGCGGTCTGTAAATAATCTAACTAAGATGCATAGCGTTCACTAACATGAGCGTTCATGTTAGTTAACGCTATGTATCTTAGCTATAAATAATCGAGTCTGGACCAGACAATCCAGTGATCAACAGCATGAGCATCGATCTGCGCAGTTGGGAACCGATGACATGTGTCAACCAAGTCAGCGAGCCTGACCACCCGATCCCGTTAGTGGCCTCTTACGACAAGCATGGGTTACTGAAGTTCAATATTCTAACCCGGGCCTTCATTGGTATTTTTCCAACCAAGTGTAAACGTGGAGAAAAAGGCTGGAGCAAAATATTACGGTAGTGAGCACCTTGGTTTCAGGTGCAAGTGCGTGTGAACGCTGGGTATCAGGCATAATATAATAATAATAATGCATATTTATAGTGCGCCTATTCCACATCCTGGGGCATGCTCAAAGCGCCATGTACAGATAATTTACACGAGAGCATTTACTGCCGAGGTAATAAACTGAGAACAGATTTTAAGTCTGGACTTTAAAAATGTCAGTTGTGTCAGAGCTTTTAATATGTGCCTGAATAACACGCGGCTGCCTTTAGAATCCCCCACCAAATATGCGCAGTGAAATCAAACATATTTGTATCTTTTTGCTTCAGAACATTGTTCACTTCACGGCTGTCCCTATTCTTAACCATGACGTTGCAATATTGTTGTGCAATACAAATGTGTTACACGGACTCGCTCGGTTGTGTTCCCATGACGACAGTGGTCAGACTGGCCTGACATTTGTAAGGCTTCAGTGCAGTGTTTGTTTACATCACAGAAATATACAAATTCATTTCATGCTCGCTCTTATTTTTCACATAGAATAGGAAAGCCACCATTTTGGTTTATCTACGATTGATTTTAGCTATCCTAAGTTGGTCATGAGCAACTTAGACTTTGAATCTTAACTTTACGATTGACTTAGGTAGATGGGTTAGTGGAACGGTATGCCGATCGTAACGTCACGCTAAGATTGGGATTTTATGGGTTTACGATTGGCGTAGGGCTAAGATCGGTTAGTGGAACGGCACCCAGATCGAGCTTCATGAGTCCTACTCATGAGAACTTGTGTTAGTGGCAAATAGGTGATTTTTCAAAACTCTGTCAGGAGTAGGCAATATACGAAAATATTTCTGCTGGACGTAAAACTTCATCATGTAAGTAATTTACCTACTGAGCTCAAAACATGCAAGTGTATTAGATATGCTTATATCATGTTCATTCTTTTCAGTTCTACACCTAGATCTACGTATACTATTCCCATGTATTATCAGTTTACTTATCTAATTTTGCAGTATATATTACTAGTTTATATGTTATGTCAGCTCAACATATCTAAGTGAGTGAGTTTGTATTACGCCGCACTCAGCAATATTCCAGCTATAAGGCGGTATTGATCCAATTATACCAGTTCATCTTTTTTATCATTTTATAACCATTAAAACAATTATTACATATACTTTACACTCATAGCTTTGTGTAATAATTTGTGTAATCAATTATTAAACCTCTTAGCCTTACAATGCATTGACACAAGTCACGTATAACACTTCTAAAAGAATCATTGTTTCAATTATTTGATTTACAGATACGTATTGTGGATCCACTGACTTGTTGGAGATTGACAAGAGGCTTGGCTTGGTAATCATTTATAGTTACACCATACCATGCTCCTAATTTCATTAAAGGAAATCTTAAAACAATATTTTTTATTCATCAGCATTTAGTCAAAAACAAGTAAACACTAAATAGATACATAGAATAAATTTCTTTATCTTTGTAAAAAAAAAAATCAATCAAATGTAACAGTGCTTGGATTCCAGTGTA